GATAGACGGTGGGTTTGCTTTCATCCTGCTGTTCATGCACCCCCTGCAAACTCTGACCTTCTAGACTTTGCCTAGAATACTCATCCCTCATGTTTACTATTTCTCAGCTGATTCCTTAAAATGGGACCTCCTTTCTTTCAGGTCACCAGGACCTGTCTAGTCTCATCAGCTATGTATAATATTAGTTCTTCTGGTACTTGGCATTTTACTTTCCTGACTATTAGTGTCTGTCAGACCCCTGCTAGTTAGTCACACTCCTAGTCTTGTCCTCACCAGACCAATCCTGTCTCATCGCTGCTCAAATCCCAGAGTGGCAGCTAGAAAGCCAAGTGAGAATACAGCTCTGAAAACCAATAGGGAGGCAAGTGGAGTAGAGAGGGGGAATTGTCTATAACAAGATGGACATTTTTTTTCTCTAAAGAGCCAGATAGTAAATATCTTAGACATTGTGACCCATATAGTCTCTGTCACAACTACTCAGCTCTGCCTTTGTAGCAAGAAAGCTGCTGAATAAATGCCAGCTAGCAAGTTGCAGAGTGACTCATATCTTTACTTCCATCTTTCATTTCTTTCTTCAGGCTTATAATACAAAGAGGTCATGGTTAATCTTGCTTTGCAAAATATTCCTCTCCCAAACTTTTAACCATTTGCCTTGGCAGAGTGTTTAGATATCTTGCTTGGAGCAGAGAATAGTTGATTTTGTGCTAAAAATCTTCCCAGCAAAAAGTCCTCCTGGCTTTGGATTACATGAATGGCCTTTAGCTCATGGCATAGAACTCCAGAACACTGGAAATGGCAGTGCAGTAACAGAAAATGATTCAGGAGGGAGCTTCTTGAGGTCACACACATGGGTCACATAAACTGCTTCAGCCAGCCTTTAATTCTTTATTCTTATAAAGGCTTACACTACTGTTAGTCATTGGGTATTGCTGTTTGCTTGGTATCTTTCACTGATTTCTCTATTTTCCCCCCTCCTCTCTTCTGCTCTTTCCCTGATTTCTTATTGACTTCTATTAAATTCATAATCTCTCTAGTCGACTTCCTTTCCCCAAGCTCCCTCTTCACTTCCTTATTCTCGCCTTCACTGTATTCCTAATAAGTGTCAAGCTCCTACAATTATTCTAATTCCAACTTCCAGGTATCTTCACAGCAATCTTCCATTCTACCGTGTTTCCCTGAAAATAAGACCGGGTCTTATATTAAGTTTTGCTCCAACAATCTATATTTATTCATTATTCATGTACAAAAATCTACATTTATTCAAACAGTCATGTCTGGACGACAATCTTAACTGGGGCTTATATTTGGGGTAGGGCTTATATTACGAACATCCTGAAAAATCATGCTAGGGCTTGTTTTCTGGTTTGGTCTTATTTTTGGGAAAACACGGTAGCTCCTTGGAGTTTTATCCTCTCTCCTTTCTAAACTAAATCCATCCATCGAGCTCCCCAGCCCCCGCCACCTGATGTAACCCCGGAAGACTACACTTCTGCACAGACCTTTTTCTTTTTCCCACTTTCTTGGTTCCTTCCCCATTTATGGGCAACAGGTCTCTGTGGACAGTCACTCCCCTCTCCCACCTGCCGTTTCTCCCTCGGGCTGCCTAACCTCTTGAATGTGAGACATATGCCCTGGGGTTCCTGACCATTCTCTTATCCACACATACCTGGCAATCTGATTTCTTTCCCCACAGTTACACTGAAACTGTTCTCTTAAAGGTCAACAATGACCTCTTTTTAGCTAAATCCATTATTTTTTTTCTGTTTTCTCATTCTTGGGTAATCATTTCTTAACTTGGAATGAATGCAGAAGAATTGGTTTGCCTGGAGGTCGGGAGGTTAACCCTGGAGCCCTCTGGATTCTGTTTCTTCTGACAGGAGTTTGGCACAGAATTTTCATAAGGTGTTATTTTATTAAAACTGTAAGCTTCTGTTGTAGTATCTGCATTTCAACCAAGAAAATGTCATACAGTGTATCTAATGGTGCAATGTAATTCCCCAAAGGGTAAATTAATCAGGTATTCTTAGTCAAGGTGTCACCATCATCACTCCACAAATCCCAGTATTTGAAGTAGCCTTACTCCAAAGAAGCCATTTCTAATATAATTAAGTGGACTATCCCCACAGTTTACAAAGCCAAATGTTAAGTGAGTTCTATCTGACTTTTATCGGAATTTTATTGAGGAACATTATGGTCATGGCTTTATGAAAATTTATTTCCTTTGATTATCCTTCCCATTTTACAGCCCTCCCAAGTTGCACAGAAAATTGAGCTAGAAGTGTTTTGTTTTGTTTTTAACTCCAGGGCACGTTGCTCCTATTTCTTGGCTCATTTCTCTAAGATCTGACATAGACCCACAGCACACAATGCCACAGGATTTGTTCAGGTTGTGAACCAGGTATCTCCAATTCTGCTTCAGAGAAGCTGAGGCTGAAACCTTCATGGTTTAACTCAACATCCGCTCCGTCCTGTTTTTACCATGATTATTATAGTAGGGTAGATTTTTTTTCAGTGGTTTCTTAGATAAGACATTACAAGCAAAAGCAACAACAAAAAAACCCCAAATAAATTGGACTTCATCACAATTAAAAACTTTTGTTCTGCTAAGAACACTACCAAGAAACTGAAAAGACAACTCACAGAATGGGAGAAATATATTTACAAATCATATATCTGATAACAGACTTGTGTCTAGAATAAAGAACATCTCAATAAAAAGACAAATAACTAAAATATGGGCAAAAGCTCTGAGTCAATATTTCTTCAAAGCAGATAGAAGAATGGCCCACAAAAAGCAAATCAAAACCACCATGAGATATCACTTCACGCCCACTAGAATGGCTATACACTGTAATCAGAGACATAATAACTAGGATGTGGAGAAATTGGAGCCCTGATGCACTGCTGGTGGGAATGTAAAATGATGCCACTACTTTGGAAAAGAGTCTGGCAGTACTTCCAATGGTTAAAGACAGAGTCAACATTTGCCCCAGTAATCCCACTGCTAGGTTCAATTCAATTCTCACACAAGAGAATTGAAAACATACTCGTATGTCTACAGAAAAACTTTTATACAGATGTTTATAGCGGCATTATTCATAGCAGCCAAAAGAAGAAACAACCTAAATGCCCATAAACTGATGAATGGATAATCAAAATATGAAATATCCATACAATGGGATATTATTCAGCAATAAAAAGTACGCTACAACATGAACTTGAAAACATTATGCTAAGTAAAAAAGCCAGACACAAAAGAGCACACATTGTATGATTCCATTCATGTGAAATGTTTAGAAAACACAAATCTAGAGAGACAGAACATAGATTAGTTCTAAGGCTGGGGAAGGGTGAGAAGGGGAGTGACTTAAAGGGTACAGGGTTTCTTGTTTGGTAATGAAAATGTTATATAATTGTGGTGATGGTTGAACAAGTCTGTGAATATACTAAAAACCATTGAATTGTAAAGTTTAAATAGGGATATTTTGTGGTATGTAAATTATATTTCTAATAAAGGTTTTATTAAAGAAAAAAATTCATGATGATGATCATAGATCAAACTTGGGGCTAGATCAAGAAGACATGACCCATGGCTAATTGTTTTTGTATCTTTCTTTTTTTTAAACCAATGTCATAAACTACTTGAAATCTTCAATTTTACCCTTCGGAGTTTTCCACACAATCATTATGCGATTGTGAAAATCAACCAAAGAAGCACTAGCAAAATGCTTGCTTTCAAAGTTATCAATAATTTGGAAACCTCAGGAATTTCGTTTTTTAGTTCTGGATAACAATTTATATTGACAGGAGGGTCGCAATTATTCTTTAGGTCCGGGGCAAAAAAAGTGTTATTACAGGTAATCTATTCTGATTTTACCAAGTGTAGAGCAGTCATTCGGGGACCCAAGAGACTTCTAAAATTTCATCAGGGTAGTTCGTAGGGAGCAAATAGGCTTTGCTTTTGTCCAGTGCTGGCTTTTGCCAATTACCTCCTTATGTACCTGCGTTCTCTTCAGCACATTATAGCTCTGAAAAAATGAGACTGAACACTCTTTGGTACCAAAGACATGTGCTTCAGTGGCAAAGGTTCCACAATCCCCTCTTGATATTTTGAGGTCTGAGGAGATCCTAACAGAAATCGTGTTCTGACAGGGGGTAAAATACACAGGCAAATCGGGCTGTTCTTCTGCTGAACCGCAGTGGCAACGCTCCAGCGGCGTCTTTGACCTTGTTCAGAGCTTGAGGACCTCCCTGCCTGCCTGCGCACGTGGCGAGGCGGGGACAGAGCCTCGTGGGACCAGCGGGAGAAACTTCCTGCTGCAAGCTCTGTAAATTCCAGGTACTGGAAATGAATTTTCAGCCTGTCGCTGTAGAACACCACGGGGAAGACCTCCCAGAAGGTCTACCCATCAGGGGGTTAGGAATAAAACGCTAAGGGAAGTGAAATGAGAACCTTCCCCCAGCATCCTGACACACTTCCTTTCCTCCTTCATCCACCCCCACCTTTCCTACACTCTGTCCCGACTCCTTCTATCGGCTCAGCCCCGCCCTACGCCCAACCCGCGTAGGGGAGTCAAACAAGACCCCGGAAGAGTAGTCCCATCCGGGTGCTTTGCCGGGGAGGGCATAGGGCGTGGTTTTATGATGACCCGGGGGAGGAGCCAACTTTGGAGCCCGGGACTTCCTGACGGAGGGGGCGGAGGGCGTGTGGGCTGACCTTGTGCACATCTCATACTGGACAAGAGGGGTGTCTCTAGTCTCAAACTTCCCTTTGAGGCGGGGATATCAGCTAATAACTGTAACTTCGAAGATTATCCCTTTTAAAGTGTTATTCGTAACCTCTCTTCCTGCTCTTCTCTCTTCCCTGTTGGGTACCCGTGACGATCTTGCCCGCTCCCAGTCTCTTGTCCCCCTCCTTTCCTACGCGGATGGTGGGGCCCGCCGGGCGCGCAGGCGCAGAGAGCTCGGGGCGGTGCCTCTGAGGGGCGGGTGACGCAGTGGCGTCGCTGCCATTTTAAGTTGTTTGTTCTGGATTCTCCTCTCAAACGCGACTCTGCCGGGACCCGGGAGGCTCCGAGGCCTTCGCCGCTTCCGCAGCCACCGGTGGCGGGGAACGAGACTGTGCCGCTGCGGACGCTCGCCATCCGCTTGGCTTTCCGCGTCCTTATCTCAGAGACGCACTTTCCTGAGAGCCGGAGCCGACGTGGGGAAGGAGGACTCGAAAGCAGATGCTTGAACTGAAATAACTTTATTTCGGGGTTGACTTGGCTGACAGACCCCCTTAGCTTAGGGCTTCCTTCCCCCGCTGCCGGGACCAGCATCCTCCTCCTTTTCCTCCTTTCTCTTTCTCGCCGCTGCCCCCGTCCTCCCTCCGCCCCGGGGCGCCGAGCCAGACTATGGGTCCCAGGCGGGGGCTGCGTGGCGGAAGCAGCGCGGGCGGCCCGGTCCCAGTGCGCACCGTAGCGGGGATGGGGGGGCTCAGTTGGCTGGTGGTGTTCTCTTGACATGGCTCCTGCCCGAGCCGCGAGCAGCGCCCCCACCGCCGCCGCCGCCTCTTCCGCCGCCGCCACCGCTCCGCCAGCGGGCTGCGGCTAGAGGGCCCGCCCCACCCGAGTCGGTCCGCGATCCCGGCCTCCGTGGACAGGGAGGGGACTCCCCGCCTCCCATCCGCCCCTCGGGAATCCCACTAACGACCCCACCCTAAACCATCCAAACTCGGGAAACATGGTCTGTTCAACGTGAGAGAGCTAATCCGGAACCCGGGAACTTCCATTTCTTTTGTTGGGGGGGGTGGGATGGGCATACTTTAAAAAGTAATATTAACACAACTGTTTTCTTTTTTTCCCCACTGATCCTTCCCATTTACCCCATCTCGCCTACTCTACCCGGGCGGGAATTGTTTCCACGATGAAATGAGTGAAAACCTGAGTGATCCTGTGTCTCCCGTGGTGCGAGTGAGTCGCTGCCGCTGAAGGCAAAGGGTGGGGGTGGGACCTGGTGGGTGGAAGGCAGGTGGTCCCCGGGCACTGCCTGGATTTGGGAGAAGAACCTGCCACCTTTGCCTCAGCAATGCCCACGGAAAGATAAACTCCCCACTGTCTGGAACGGGGGCAAATTCATAGGGAAGGCTCCCCTGGGGAATATAGGACTCCTCGCGGGGTTAGTGGTGTTGGGATCCCTAATCAGGTCTGACCACAGAGCCGGAATAGTTATTATATTGTGTTATATACTCCCCTTTCTCTCTGCCATCATGATTCTCCTTGGCAGCAGCATTAGCAGCTACCTGAGGGTCAAAATGTGGGTGATGGGGAAGTTGGTAATGACTCCGCTGTTTTTTCTCATGGCTCCTTTGGGCAACAGCTGCCCGCCCCCGGTATACACTGTAGTTGATTGCAGGGAAACCCTGAACCTCTCCCCTTCTTTCTCTACCGATTTTGCACTTTTCTCTTTGCTCACCACCAAGTGTAATCAATAACAAGCACTGACAATACATAGCAATAGTGAAACCTGAAATAACTAAGAATTAATTAGGTACTACAGCCATGGATCTGGCTGGGTAAAATCCAATTGGATATTTCAGTTTCATTCACTTTCCCTGTTTTGGTGGGGATTTGTGTTTTTTTCCTCCTTTTTTTTAAATTTGGAAAGCAAGGCTCACACTCCTCCCTGCCCTGTTCTTTTTCATAATCCCTTTTCTAAAAAGGGAAAAATCTGGATGGGTTTTAAGGATTGGGCTGGTGTCAGCTGTGTTTTATTGCACACCTAAATCCTGGTAATAGGCTTTTCATTTCCCCCCAAGCCTTTATTTTGGCAGTTACGCCAAATGTGTTTTCTGAAAAGTTAGTTCAGTATTTTCTCAGTTTATTGCCTTCTTCCCCTTCCTTTTCCCCCACCCAACCCCAAACATTATTGTCCAAACATGACTGGACAGCGGCTTTTGTTTCTTGACCCTGTCATATGATAGTCTGCTAATATTGCCAGAAGGTGCAGTTTTTGGGTTACAGTCGTGATTTTAGCTATTCAATCATATTAGCAGGAAAAAAAATGACTTGTTTCTGTTGTACTTGAGTCTTAAGAAAAAGTACCCATAGTTTAGTGACAATTTCCAAAGGCTTTAGTACCACCTGTATTTCAAAATGGGGGACCCAAACTCCCGGAAGAAACAAGCTCTGAACAGACTACGTGCTCAGCTTAGAAAGAAAAAAGAATCTCTAGCTGACCAGTTTGACTTCAAGATGTATATTGCCTTTGTATTCAAGGAGAAGGTAATTTAAAGTTCTTAATGTGTATTAGCACAGGTGGCTTTTGTAAGTTGTGCAAATAACTGAATATTAGGTTAAAGAGTGATTGGCAAAAGTCTACAGTGTATGCTTTGACGTTTCACCCTTATGGGGAATTCTCTGAATCCAGTAGTTGCAGTGTAACTGAATGGAAGGCTTGAGTACTCATTGGTTTGGAAGTATTTCATTCCAAAACACTGTTAGGGTTGTGGTGTGGGCAACATTGTAAAACTTTCACTTGTGTTTTACAGTAAATTACATTTATGTGGAGTTATAGAAAACTTTATAACTGAGTTTAAAGATTAATGTAACATAAATGATTGAAAGTGGTAAATGGGAATCAAAATGATTAAAGCAGTCTGTTTCTTCAAGTCCAGGATGCAGGTACCTTTTCTCATGGTACATTTTTTTTTACCCTAATAGACTAATTTTTAGGAGCAATTAAATACTCAAGTGGTTAATTTGTGTTTAGAAGTGCATTTTATTAAAATTCAAAGTGAAATAAGTTAATTTTTTGGGGGGTCTTAAATAGCAAATAATGTGAGTTGTCAAGGAAATCATGATAAGGCCGTATATTTTTGCAACTTAAAACAATGGGTGGTTTCTTAAATCTTTATTTGATAGATTAGGTTATGAATATAAGGAAATACTTGGATTTTTGCACTTAAATTATGAGCTAATTTCAGATCAGAAATATATTAGTGTGGTATCTTTAATATTTGGAAGTTTCTTAGGTTTTTACCCCACTCTTAACTCTTAAAGGTTATTAGTATCGAAGAATGCTCTTAGCTGCTAGAATATAACATTGTAAGGTGGTTTCAGAAGTGGTTTGTTTTGAAGTGATTGTCCCAAGGTATTCCTAAGGATTTACTTCTCCATTTTTCTCTCCTTTTGTTAATAAGTTGATTGCAGAATTGATAAGATCAGAAATTAGTTGAAGATATTATAATGCACATTCACTAGAAATAAATCATACATAAGTGGTGAGACTAGATCTTTGTATTTAATCTAGAAGGTTAACTGTACCATTTAGTTCTTTTAACACTTGTGAGAACATGTTTTTATTCTACGAATGGAGAGTATCCAGGCACTTCAGTAGTTCATGAATTTTATAACCAAAATTCATCGTGAGCACTTGGTGTGACTAAATTTGAAATTCAATTTGGTAGACATCTTTTTTTCCTCCTTGCAGATATTGACACTTGTTATATAACATCCAGAATACTGGAAATTGACCTTTAAAGAGTGAAAGAGTTCATTGGTCTGAATAGCTTTGTTTTTAAGCTACTGAGATTTTAATTTAGCTGTGTGTAGAACCAGTTAAATGAAATTACATCAAGAGTAAATCACTGTTTTTTTGTTGTTTTTTTTTTAGCCCAGGGGTGCTGGTGTTTGTTTCTCACAGCATTTAAGAAATATTGTCTAAAATAAGTACTTGGTGTGGATACCATAATGCTATAAAACCATGCAGTTAAACATCTTGATAATAGCTTGTTTTATGTGGTTGGGGTTGGGGGGCTTGGAGAGAAAGGACAAAAAGATTTGCCTATTTGAAAACCTGTGTTTTCAGTACAAAAATTACTTCAGTTAAGAATTTTACTGAGTTATGATAAAAGTACATGCATTATAATATGAATTGGGTATTAAAAGACTGTGCTACCAGTGAATTAATATACTTTTTTTTCTTCTAGAAGAAAAAATCAGCACTTTTTGAAGTGTCTGAGGTTATACCAGTCATGACAAATAATTATGAAGAAAATATCCTGAAAGGTGTGCGAGATTCTAGCTATTCCTTGGAAAGTTCCATAGAGCTTTTACAGAAGGATGTGGTACAGCTCCATGCTCCTCGATACCAGTCTATGAGAAGGGTGAGTTTTGTTTTAAGTTTTGATTTGGTAAGTTTAAGCTTGCATTCCCCTCCCCTCCAGGATGGGTAGTTCTAGTGGTCATGAATTTCTTTATTTCTTCAAATAAAGCATAGATAACTTATGTGGTATCATGGTGATAATGGTGTACATTATTGCTGTGAATAATGTTTTATATGACTGTTCATTGGATTTTCCTCTTTGGGAGGGGAGCTAATATCATACCCCTTAATAAATAAGAAACGTAAAGTAGAAGAAACTATTGTTGCCAACCTTCTAAATTTCTGCAACTCATTGGAAGTTAATCTGGCATACTGGAACAAGAGATTCCCACAGTTAGTGATTGGGGTCGGGGAGGGGAAGACTGGAAATACCATGTACTGGTCTGGCAGAGGTTTTTTGGCCTTTGGAAATTAATATGCTGGACTGTGATAATAAGAGGAACATCAGCATATAACAAAAACACATTCCAGTTGTATTAACATAGTGATTCATATTAGAAGTTCCAAGACAACTTAACTTTGCTTTAAATAGTTCTGACTTTGAAGAATGGAAATAAAGGTGCAGAGGTTTTTGAAAAATGACAAAAAATCAGAGCTTTAGTTGGAGTTTTCACCATGTACTCTTGAATTTAGATCTTGATGTGAGGAATATTGTTGAGTGACTCTGTGGACTCTACAAGATAAAAATTTGAATAAGGTGATGAACTACTCAGATTATATGGGGCCCTATTACTGTTACCTCATATAAAATGATATATAGTGGACCTATATAAACTGATACATAGTGGACCTTTTGCACTTGTGAAATGTTTCTTTAGTCATTTCTTTTTACAGCTTTCTTTGAAAATAATTTTCTTTTATTATGTGTGTCATTTTATAGGATGTAATTGGCTGTACTCAGGAGATGGATTTCATTCTTTGGCCTCGGAATGATATTGAAAAAATTGTCTGTCTCCTGTTTTCTAGGTGGAAGGAATCTGATGAGCCATTTAGGCCTGTTCAGGTATTTTATTGTAAAATAAGTGTGGTCAGCACTTAAATTTAAGTGAAAACTCCTGGAATAAGGTCTAACTTAAGAAATTGTTGGGAGTATGCTTTTTCTTTTCTTTTTTTGGGGGGTGGTATGCTTTCTGATAATTTTTATGAGTCCGTCCCATCCTTTTACTATTGTAATGCAAGAGGAAAAACAATTTGGATTATAGAATCTCTTGAGAATAAGGCGGGTCTTAGCTACCCACTGTATCTTTGAAATTATAGCTAGAGGAAATGTTTTAAGGTCAGCATTGATTTATTGGGGAAGGGAGGGCATGGATAAATTCACAAGACCCCTTCCCCTGCACCATGCACAATCAACCATCTGGGTAATTGAAGGAAGTGTTCTATATCTCAAGAAACTGTTCAAAATTGTGGTCATTAGCTACATCTGATTATTAAGCATTTGAAATGTGGCTAGTGTTACTGGAGAACTGAATTTTAAATTATTGTGTTGTCAGAAAAGCCAATGCACTTTTGCAATGAAAAACAGAAAAAAATACATCATGACTTTTCCGACAACCCAATAAATTTAAGTAGCCACTGTCAGCACAACTATATGCGTATGTGTGCAGTAAATGTTTCATGTTGTGTAAAATGTTTGTAGTTACATATAAATGCTTGTATTTTCTTTTCTTTCTTCTTTTGTTTCTTTTTAAATGTTTGTATTTTTTAATTAGGCTAAATTTGAGTTTCATCACGGTGACTATGAAAAACAGTTTCTGCATGTACTGAGCCGCAAGGACAAGACTGGAATTGTTGTCAACAATCCTAACCAGTCAGTGTTTCTCTTCATTGACAGACAGCACTTGCAGGTAATCTTTATTTTTGGCAGGGGGCAGTGGAGGGGGATGACCTAAGGGCTGATTTAAAAAGCTTATTGGTTAGCAAACTGTTTTCTGTACAGGTTACTTGATTCTCTTTTGCCCCTTGAAGTTATTTAAAAAATAAGAAATATTGATATATCCTGTGCCTCACCTTAGAGCAGTGGTTCCCAAACTTTGCTGTATGTTAGAACTTCCTGGAGAGTTTTTAAAAGTCATGAATCCAGTGTACAGTAGAGTTTGAGAAATGCTACCATATAGCTTTTCTACCTAAACTGTAGTCACCAGATCAACATCACCTGAAAACTTATATATGTAGAATGACAGGCCCTGCTTAATCTACATTTTGAACCAAATCATCGGGTGACTGATAGGTAACACATTATCTTGAGAAGCACTGGCCTATTTCAAAGTAAATAAAAATCTAAAGGGATGAGGTACATTTGTATTTAAAAGATCCATATGTGTTTTAAATGAGTACTTACAATTTAAGCAGCAATCCAGATATTCTAAATGAATTTTTATTTGTAAAACATTGTTTATTCTCACCAACCTAGACCTAAATGTCATTGCCATTAATTTATAATAGATACTTTGTTATTAACTTTTAAAATACAGCATCATTTAAATTTACCATTTAGACAATATACAGCAATGACCAAGACAGACAAAAATTCCTGCCCTCATGGAGTCTCATCCATTGTGGGAATCCCAGTAGTAAATAAGTAAAATATATAGTGAGATAGTGATAAGTGCTAAGAGAAAAGGAGAGGTGATATATAAACCATTGGGTGTGAATTCTTAGATGGTATAGGCAGAGAAGACCTCACTGAGAAGGTAAGTGACTTAAAGATTTTTAAAAAAGAGTATGATATTAATTGCATTATAACATGTTTATTTTTATTTAAGGGAGTATGTAAGGTACTAAAAAACACAAAAGCAAATCATACTGCTTCCTTCAAGGGGCTGATAGACTTTCTATTTTGTGAAGTTAAGTAATTATGTATAGGTACAAATAAAAGAATTGTGGCAATTACAGAAGAAAGATAATTTCACTGGGGGTATTTATAGAACTAATAGAAAAACCACATAATAGGTGGGTTTTTTAGGTTTTATTTTTTAATCTGGGGTCTTTAGCTCTGGAGACTTTTAAGATGACTTAGTTTTTCTTTTTAATTGCTTGTAGTATGGAATCCACAACACAAAGATTTTTAGTCATAAAAAGATATAGAGGTTTTTTGTTTTTTTTTTTTTTAATTGAGGAATAGGACCCATCAGCTCCAAGTCAAGTATTGATTGGGTTGTCGGAAAAGTCATGACGCATTTTTGCAACGAAAACAGAAAAAATACGTCATGACTTTTCTGACAACCCAACAGTTGTTTCAATCTAGTTGTGGAGGGTGCAGCTCTGTGGCCCATGTGGGGAACGAACTGGCAACCTTGATGTTAAGAGCACTGTACTCTAACCACCTGAGCTAACTGGCTGCCCCAGTCATAGAAGATTTAATAACTACTCAAAGGAGTTACTTTGTTAATATGTAGCAGTTCATCTGTTATGTATCAAGGTCAGATGTTTTCAATGCTTTAGAAAGCAAACAACTTGAATTTTTTCAATGCAAAGAAAGATTTAAGATCATAAGCTAAATTTGTGTTGTAGGTAGGGTGACCAACCGTCTGTTTGTAATGCTCTGATTTTAGCACTGAAATTCAGGCTGAAGTCCTGGGCAAATGAGTGTGGTTATTACCCTGTTTGTAGATGAATTTGGTCTGCAGTGCTTTTAGGTCTCCTTCCACTCAGGTTCTGCTCTTGATCTTCATAAACTGGAGATGTGTTGAATGTTCACATTATTATAGAAGAAGCAGCCTCCACTCATTCACAAGGGACTTGATGATGACAGTGGCCAACATATGTAGTAGATCAAGTACCCTACTCTCTACTAAGAGCTTTACATGTATGAGCTCATTTAATCCTCACAACAGTCCCCTGAGGTGTAGACCAGCGGTTCTCAACCTATGGGTCGTGACCCCTTCACAGGGGTCACTGGGTACTCGTATGTGGGCGTATCTGCATGTGGGCCTGGAGACGGATAGAGGAGTGGTGTCTCGGTTCCTAAGACCATCGAAAATATGTGCTTTCCGATGCTCTTAGGCGACCCCTGTGAAAGGTTGAGAACTGCTGGTGTAGACCTTGTTACTCCCATTTTATAGCTAAGGAAATCAAGCAATTAAGTAGCTTGATCAAAATCACCCAGCAGAGCTCTTGAGCCATTTATCATAAGATAAGATACATAGGGCATGACCAAAGGATAATTTTGGATGGGCAGGTGGTATAGAAGCACATACCTGGAGCCTGGATTCTAATACAGATGTAGCCACTTAGTAGCTGAGCTTTTGGACATGTAACTTCTGCTGTCAGCATGTTTTTTTCTGTTAAATTGAGTAAATGATATTCATAAGGTGGTAACATTTAAAATGAAAAAAAACGTGCATATGTATAAGTTCATTTGCATATAAAGACTGCTTCAGACATCGGCAAAGGCCTTTTTTTTTCTTCTGCCTCTTTTAGAGGTGATACAATGAAAAGAAGATGAGCTTTGAAGGCAGGGCTGGGTTCAGAATCATCTTACTAGCAGTGGTTATTTGTGAAAGCTCCTAGTGCATGTTTTCCATAATTTAGATGTTAAAATAGTAACTACTTTTTAAAAACAATATAGTTTGATTTATCTGGTAATGCTTTGGCTTTCTTCTAGTCTTTTACTCCAGAAAATTCTTAAATCTTGATCTGTTTCTGATCTTCTCCCTAGCTTCTACTCGCTCTGTATCTGCTGTCTTTTTATATACAAACATGACTTCAAACCTCTATTCAAATCTGTCTCCATGAAGTGCCTTTAAAACGAATTTCTTGGGCCAGCCGAGTGGCGCGTTGGTTAAAAGCTGGCTTGGGACGCCAGAGGGCCCTGGTTCGGATCCCACATATGAGGGCCAATGACACTGCCCTCTACAGCTAAGATGCTGAACAACAGCTCGACGTGGAGCTGGGCTGCCATGAGTCGCTGTCGATGGCATAGGCTGCAGCCTGTGCTGCAGTGGGTTGCCATGGGCTACTGTGTGTAGCCAGCAGCCGCAGTGAGCGGCTGCCCTGAAGCTGGCGACTGATCTGCCTCAGCCGGGAAGAGCACAATGATGGTGCCAGCTTGGGCCAGTGAAGCAACGTCCTCAACTAGACTGAAGAACAAAAAGGACAGTAACTTGTCTGTTCTCCTTCCCCCAATTCCCCAGCGCTGTTCCAATTCCCCAATTAAAAAAAAAAACCAAACAAAAAAACTTCTTTTAGCAAGTAGTCTATGGTTGACATTCCTATCTTTTATCTGCATAAGTTCTTTGTAAGATTTTTTTAATTGGAGAATTGGAGGGGAACAGCGTTGGGGAATCGAGGAAGGGGAACAGACAAGTTGCTGTCCTTTTGTTCTTCAGTCTAGTTGTGGAGGATGTCGCTTCACTGGCCCATGTTGGTATTATCATTGTGCTCTTCCTGGGTGAGGCAGTTGCTTGCTGGCTATTGGACGGCGGGCACGGCAGCTCACAAAAGCGTATGCCAGCTGCCGGCCAGCCCCACTGCAGTCTACGCTGTTGCCTCACGGCAGCCCAGCTCCACATCGAGCTGTTGTTCACCATCTTAGCTGTAGAGGGCTCAGCGTCACTGGCCTCATGTGGGATCTGAACTGGGGCCCTGCTGCTCAGAGCTGGCATCCCAAGCCAACTCTTAACCAACAAGCCACTCGGCTGGCCCCTGCATAAATTCTTTAAAGATTTATTTATAGTCCTGCTTACTCTTTTCCTGTATTTTGTACGGCAAAGTTCTGTCTTCCTAAGGTCCCTATGGATAGGGACCATCATTTATTCCCTTACTCCATGTGCTTTGTTACTGTGTCCATACATACTTAGTAAATTGTGGGAGATTAACTAAATGTGATCATTGATCACTTATGTCTTATTTATTAAGAATATTTAAACTTTTCCCCTTCCAGACTCCAAAAAACAAAGCTACAATCTTCAAGTTATGCAGCATCTGCCTCTACCTGCCACAGGAACAACTTACCCACTGGGCAGTTGGCACCATAGAGGATCACCTCCATCCTTATATGCCAGAATAGAGTACTGACCAGCAAAATGGAGACGATCAGAGTGCAGCAGCAATTATTTTCTTGTTTTCTTACCACTTTATTCTTTCAGAGTTTAAAGAAAATGGACTCATGCACAGAACACTATGCATTTTGAAACTTGTTCATCCTGGATTTTTTTTTTAAAAATCATTTGTATCTCAGAACTTTAAAAAAAAATTAGATGTCTTCTGCATGGACTGTGTGAAAGAAGATGCTTTGTATCTTTGCTGCACTGCATCAGCATCTTATAAAAATGTGAAGTGAAAGGACTATGTACACTGAAATGCTTAAATGTATCCGAAAGCACAAGGTGATACTCATTTTTGATGGTCTTTCCATTTGTGCTGGCTTTTGCCTCTTGACATCTGTCATCAGTATTTAGAGGGTGAGACGTGAAAGTAACAGGTATAAATAACATTTTAAGAAACTTAATAGCTTTGCTATAATCACCGTTGTTCCAGGGCACTGTCAGATTCATTCTAATAAGTGGTTTAAAAAAAAATAAAACCACGGGAAAGAAATCTTAAATGAAAAAAGCATCTCATTGTAGGCATTCTTGCCTCATTTTACTGGGCCACGTTTGTTTCCTGGTACTCATAAATATATGTATTTTATTTCCAGATCTCTTTCCTCAAGTTGCTGTCATAAAAGAGTATTCTGCTGGGTGTTGATACAGTTTAGACCCATTAAAGCAGATCTGGAGTCTGAAATAGCTAAAGCAGCTATAAAACTGAGAAATACATTCATAGCTGCTGAAACCATGATAGGTAGAGGACTTTCCTTTTTGGTTTTTGTTTTCTGGTTTTAAAGAGATTTTTATTACAAAGAAAAAAAATTCCAGTGAATTGTGCAGAAATACTGGTTTCTACACCATCCTAAAGAAAAACTTAGGGGTTTTTTGGAGTAGAAAAAAGTCATTAAAGTTGGAATCTTAAATTGTAAAAACAACCATTGAGAGTCAAAGTTCTAAAAGCAGAACTCACTTTGTGCAATGAACATAAGGAAAGACTACTGTATAGTTGTTGTTTTTTTCCTTTTAAATGAAGAAAAGCTTTGCTTAAGGGTTGCATACTTTCATTGGAGTAAATCTGAATGATCCTCCTTTGGAGTAAAACTTAGTGCTTACCGGTTTCCAATTGTATTTAGTTTCTGGTTGGAATTTGAAAAAATGAAAACCTAAATAAAATAGGTTTATGTTCCCTGACTATCCAGGTGAATACACAAAACTTGAAGTGGTAACTTTTTTCCTAAGTCACGGGGTACGTGTTACTAATGACCTTGGGTTATTTAATAGTCAATGGCTAAACGGCAAATTCAGAACAAATCCAGCAATTGGGTTTGTAGTTTTAACAAGAACAGGAGTCTAGGACATTTTTGTCACCCTTTAATATAATAGTTATCAGCCTGGCCTTATGCCTTGCTTCATGGAAAAGAAAAAAATATTCTTAGTTCTAAAATGCTTTCACATGTTTTCTAATCAATTAAAAGTTAGAATCTATTTGAAATAACACTTCGATGTTTATCATGGCCAGGAACTTATAAGCTCTTGTCTGAATGAATTTTTTTTTTTTTAAGATTTTATTGGGGAATTGGGGGAGGGGAACAGACAAGTTGCTGTTGTTTTGTTCTTCAGTCTAGTTGCGGAAGATGTGGCTTCACTGGCCCAAGCTGGCACCATCATTGCACTCTTCCCAGGCGAGGCAGATCAGTCGCCAGCCTCTGGTCGCTCACGCTGGCTGCTGGCTACACATGGTAGCTTATGGCAGCCCACTGCAGCAGGGGATGCAGCCTACGCTGTCACTGGCGTCCCACAGCAGCCCAGCCCCAGGTCGAGCTGTCGTTCACCATCTTAGCTACAGAGGGCAGTGTCACTGGTCCTCATGTGGGATCCAAACCGGGGCCCTCTGGCGTCTCAAGCCAGTTCTTAACCAACGCGCCAGTCGGCCAGCCCTCTTGTCTGGGTGAATTTAACGCTGTAGAAAATCAGTTGCTTGCCCAAACTCACATGGTGAGTAGAGAATTTATAACCAGCTGTCTGGCTCTATAGAGCCCAAGCTCTTGACTGTTTCGTTATGTTGAATTACATTTATTAATAATCAACAAGTTAGACATTTCAGCAGCCATCGGTTTTGTTTTTATTTTAGAATCTAGATTTTGAAAAGTTGTAAGAGTAATACAGAAACCACCTGTATACCCACATTTAGTCTAACATTTTGCCACATTTGTTTTTATTGTCTTTCTACATGTATTTATGTGAACATCTGAGTTTGGTAGCACATAGTACTTACACCTTGATTCCTTATCCCTTAGTACTTCAGCACATGTCCCAAGTACAAGGATACTCTTATATAACCACAGTAGTTATCAAATTCAGGAGCTATAACATTGGTATACTTGAATCTACCATCTCTTTTCCTTTTGCTAATTGTCCTAATATCCTTGATAGTGGGTTTTTTTTTTTAACCCCCCTGCAGTACAGGATCATTGCAATTAGTTGTCATGTCTCTAGTGTCCTTTAATCTGGAACAGTTCCTTAGCCTTTAATGACAGCTTTTTTGAAGAGTACAGGCCAACTTTTAAAATATAAAGTTTGTGATCTTGCACTGAGTGATGTTTCTTCTGGTGAGGTAAGATCTGGATTGTGCATTCTAGCCAGAGCCCAATGTGACTGTATGCTCTTCTCAAGTTAATATCCAGAAGCACATAATTTGCTCGTTGTTGATGTTAATTTTGATGGGTCTAAGGTAGTGTCCTGTTTCTGCATTGTATAGTTACTATTGGGTTGTCAAAAAAGTCAACGCATTTTTGCAACGAAAAACAAAAATATGTCATGACTTTTTCGACAACCCAGTATTTTCCCACTTGCAACTAAGAAGCAATCCATGGGAAACATGCAAATATCCTCTTTATCAGGAGCACCTTGATGCTTTTTTTTTGCCTTTTGCTATAACCAGTCTTTTTTTTTTTTTTTTTAAGATTTTATTGGGGAAGCTGAACAGCCAAGTTGTTGTCCTTCCATCTTAGTTGTGGAGGGCGCAGCTAGCTCAGCTCCAAGTCCAGTCGCCATCTGGCCACCTGTTGCCAGCTCAGCTCAAGGTGCCATGTTCAGTCTTAGTTGTGGGTGTGCATAGCCCACCATTCCATGCTGAAGTCAAACCGGCAACCTTGTTAGGAGCACAAGCTCTCACCAGCTGAGCCATCCTGCCACCTGTTAGCAGCTTAGCTCAGGCGCAGCTCACTGGCCCATGTGGAAATCAAACCTGTGACCCTGTTGCTCAGAGCTCACCCTCTTAACCAGCTAAGCCACTCGGCCGGCCCTATAACCAGTCTTTACTATAATGACTGCAAAATGATTTTCCATATCTGCTCCTCGCTTCACATTGATCATTCTTTTGTAAGGAACAGCTATTATCTACCTAAACAATATGGACTCAATTCTTTTTGTTTCAATGCTGCATAATTTGCATGCCTCTATTTTCTTGAGCATTCCCTTTAAGGCACTAGATATGTTCATTTTGTAACTTCCCTATCCCAGCCCCTGAATCAGCCACTTCTCCAAGGAGCCCAGGTTCCTTTCAGTAGGAGATAGGAAATTAGTATCTGGGCTCCCTGTGTGCTCACTGCTACTATACAGTCGGCCTCTGTCCTTTCAGCAGACAGATCAGCATGTACTCTCACAAGCAAAGGAGAATCAATCTTTAGTTGACTGTTTCCAGATTTATTTAAAGTCACATCACTTTTTAGTCATGTTCACTAAGACTGCTTGATGCAGAAATCAAATATTAAGAATGCCATATAGTCAACTAAGAAATGGATGAAACAATTTGTGAACTTGGTCTTTTTGATACTGTAGACTGAGATTTAAGATCTTCATGGTTTTATTCTAGGTACTAGAAAAGGGGCTAATGGTATGCTCCTCCCCCCAATATAAAATATGCCAGTCCTGTAACACTATCAAAAACACCACACCCATTGGACTGTTTTCTATATCATTAATGTACTTTGCCTCCAACTTTCTTGACTACATCAGGCCACATGGCTCAATCTATTTTGAAGTTTCATAGTCTTGAAATTGGGTTTAAAAAAATGTAGATGGCATTTTAGAGCTGAGAAGGACCTAAAAATTCATTAAGGATTAACCATTAATTTATATTTTTCCTTTAGTTTAATAGAGTTCAGTTTTAAGGTAATCTTATCTCAAAATGGCCTGACTAGTTTCTTTGCTTTCCCTAAGTTTTCAAAACACTGAACTAAGAATTTTTTCATATGAGTATCATACACAAGATTAAAAACAAACTGAAGAGACGTAAAATGAAAATGATATCCCCATCCTATATCCCACTTGGACTCCATGTCCTTTTCCCCAAAGACAGTATTTGTTAGCTACTTCTGGTTATTGTAATTTATTTTGAAAATTACATTTGTTCAAGTCAAATTTACACTTGATATTCCTTGTTGGGTTTCAAGTCATACTGCTGTCCTCTCAGTTTCCCAAGTGTTTTGTGTGTCTGCCTTGTGCTACCAATTTTCCCGTGGCTTTGTTGGTCAAATCCACAGAGGCAAATGCAAGTGTTTTTCCTTGCTTCAGAACACGTGCTGTAATCACTATGTCTTCTCCTATTTTAGCAGGTGACATGTACCTTGAAAGGAAACAAATAGTTAACAGCAAATAATTTTTAAAAGGGAAAGTTGTGTGCATCACAGAAAGCTGCCTTTAAGACTATTTTTAGGATTAAAATAAGTAACAACAGTAAGCTTTTTGTCCTATCAAACTCGAATGGCTGGTCCTGACCAAGTTCCATCTTACCCATACCTTATCCATATAAGTTTCTTTTCCTGTAAATACAGGAAGGGGTTTTTGCACCATCCCCCTTTTTTATTAAATTTCTCACTTCATATTTATTTGGGGCTGGTGAACGATTTCTTCTAGCTTTCATGTAATCTACTTAACTTCCTAGGTGAAGTATTACTTGGTGTCCATATCTTATCAATATTTAGAATTTACTCAACTCTAAAATGACAATATAAGAACTATAAGGAATTAATATGAGGTCCTTAACAATCCTGATGAATTGTGTATACGTATTTTTAGAGATACACTTCCTACCCACCTGTATTCATAAGTTGTCATTCACTTACTTTTGAAGTATCTATAGTAAATCTTTGAGATTGTCCTAGTTTCTGCTCAGGTCAATCACTTTGAAGCTTGGGCAGCTCTTGATGGTAGCCAATACTTTAGGCAACACATACTTTGAAAGGCCAAAACTATGACTTATTGAAAATTCTTTAGTGTTGTGAAAGCAGCAGTATCTTAGAATATCGTGAAATGCAGCGCTAGGTTTAAAGATCTTTGCTCTGAATACAGACTCTTAAGGAAAACAAGAGTCATCAACTGGTCTTACTGCCCATCACATGGACTAAGGTAAGGACTGCTGAATGTGCCCACCGGTACCATAAGCAGAACCTTTTCGTTTTCAAAGGAGCATTTGCATTTTGTCCAGTGATTTGCTTACTGCACCCTCAATTTATTTCTATAGTAAAGAGGGACTGAATGTTTCTTAAGTTAGCCTAATAAAAGATTTAGATTGTTTAAAAACCTATTAACTGACATTATTGCCATTGCCCTCATGCCAAATAACACTGGCTTTCCCACCCTAACCCCTGCCTGTCCCCCACCCTAACAAAAATCATTTTTTTGTTGTCTAGGTGGAAAAAGCAATTGTGTTGAAACTAAATCCCTGGGCGCTGCACTCTGGAACAGGCCTGGCAACAGTACTAGTTAATGTTGGAACTGAATTTCTTACATTTGGAACCATTTGACCCCTGCAGGCATTTTCACAAGTGAGTGGCAGCCTCGCATCTGGGGCCCCGCTCCTTTCATCATGTAGTTTAAACCTATAGCGCAGGGAGAGAACCGGACTGCAAACGACATTTGCGGTCACCCTGTTACAAGGAGGTGACGATGTATACATGAAGGTTTCTCCAACTTTTAAAATTTTATTCAGCCTTTTCCCTATATACTTGTATACTTAAATACAGCCCTCATAAGAAAAGTACAAATGGCACTTTTTGGGACTGTGAAACAGTTAAAAGCCATGAGTTTGTAGTGATTTTTTTCCCCCACCAGTAATATACTTATTAGAAGCTGAATTTTTATTTTTGAATAAAAATTCAAATAAGAATTTGAATTTTTATCAGTTAGACCATGCCCCCTTTACTACTGATACAACTATATTTGGAAATTAGTTCCTCTACTAGATTCTAAGGCCATGGAATATTTTAGGACAAATCTAGAGCTGCATTTAAGGATCAGCTGCTATGGGCACCTCATGCTTTATGTTACAAATGTGTTTAATCTCAAGTTGTTTGAACTATCACAATAAAGTTATTTGGGGTGCAGTTTGGTTACATACGTTATGTTCATATCGACACTGACACCAGGTGCTCCCCTTTCTGTGCAGAGCAGAGCCATTGTTGATACGTTATCCACTAAGGTGGCTGTCAACCCTCCATGGAGAGTGCCGCCCTTATTGGTATGCTCCTCTTCTACTTTCAGTTCACAAATCACTTTTCCAGGATCAGCAGAGACAAGAGCCACCTAAATGTAAAAGAAAAGAATTTTGGATATTCTGTGGTATTAGTAAACCTCAAACAGCCCATCAAGAAGCTGAGTGTTAGACCATTACCCCTTTATTACTGATACATACTATATTTGGAAATTAGTTCCTCTACTTGGATTAAATTGAGTCACCCCAAAAAGCCAATTCCTAAATTCAAATAAGTTATCAATCTCTATAATAGACATTAACTCTTATGTTAATTTAAAGAAAAAGGAATATTTCAGGAAAAATAGTAGTAGTCTTTGTTAATCTCCACTCTGCTGGCATAAATCAAACATTCCATCTGAGCTTTTCAGCCTTATGGAAAACAACCTAGCATCTCTTAATGTCTCCAAAGAAATTTTGCGCCAACAAAGCTAGCTGGTCCCTGTGATCTGTTAACCCACTAGAGCAGCGGTTCTTAACCTTCCTAATGCCGCAATCCCTTAATACAGTTCCTCATGTTGTGGTGACCCCCAAACATAAAATTATTTTCGTTGCTACTCTATAACTGTAATTTTGCTACTGTTATGAATCGTAATGTAAATATCTTTTTGTTTTCCGATGGTCTTAGGTGACCCCTGTGAAAGGGTCGTTCGACCCCCAAAGGGGTCGCAACCCACAGGTTGAGAACTGCTGCACTAGAGGTTTAATTTGGATGTTCCCTAGTTTTTGTACAAGGTAATGCTTTTTCAAAAGATTTTCATTAAAATATAGCTAACATACAATATTTTATTAGTTACATCATATTCAACATTTATATACCTAAAGTAGTGATCACCATGATGTGTCCAGCAAGCATCTGACACTATATCACACTATCAATATTATTGACTATATTCTTTATGCTGTACATTACATCTCCATGACTTATTTTATATGGGGATTTTTGCACCTCTTATTCCCCTTCACCCTTTTCCCCTCTTTTAAAAATTTTCAGTTACAATTTACATCTAATATTATTTTATATTAATTTCAGGTGTACAGCATAGTGGTTAGACATTATTACATAATTTAAGAAATGATCCCCCTGACTAGTACCCACCTGGCACTATATATATAATTATTACCACATTATTGACTATATATTCCTTATGCTTTACATCCCCATGACTATTTTATAACTACCAATTTGTACTTCTTAACCCCACCCCCTCCCATCTATCACCCTGATAAATCTATTGGGTTGTCAGAAAAGTCATGATGTATTTTTTTCTGTTTTTTGTTGCAAAAACGCGTCATGACTTTTCTGACAACCCAGTAGTACCCGTTTGACACCATACATTGTTATTACAATGTTATTGACTACATTTCTTATGCTATTCCCTACATCCCCATGACTACTGTGTAACAACTAATTTGTACTTAATCCCTTCCCCCTTTTCATACCCCCCAATCCTCCTCCCATCTGGAAAATATCAAAATGTTCTCCATGAGTTTATTGCTGTTTTGTTTATTTTGTTCTTTAGATTCCACTTATAAGTGAAATCATATGACATTTGTCTTTCTGTCTGACTACACTCAGCACAATACCCTCTAGGTCCATCCATGTTGCAGATGGCAAGATTTCATTCTTTTTTTATGGCTGAGTAATATTCCATTGTATAAATGTGCCATCTCTTCATTCATCCATTCAGGGACACCCAGGTAGCCTCCATACCTTAGCTATTGTAAATAATGCTGCGATGAACATATGGATGAGCAAGTCCCCTCGAAGTAGCATTTTGGGTTTCTTCAAATAAATACCCAGAAGTGGGATTTCTAGGTCCTCCTTGTTTGTCTCTTGTTACAGGCTTTGTTTTAAAGTCTTTTGCCTGGTATAAGCATTGCTACCCCAGCTTTTTTTTCGTTTGTTTCCATTTTAATGAAATATCTTTTTCCTTTTACTTTCAGTATCTGTGTGTCTTTTGATCTGAAGAGAGTCTCTTGTAGGCAGTGTATGTAAGGGTCTCGTTTTCTTATCCATTCAGCCACCCTATTTTTGATTGAAGCATTTAATACATTTACATTTAAAGTAATTGTCAGATATGTAGTTATTGCCATTTTATTTCACACACACACACACACACACACACACACACATATATATATATAAATCTATATTAGTCTTAAAGAAGTCCCTTTAACATTCCTTGTAGTACTGGTTTGATGGTGATGAACTCCTTTAGCTTTTTCTTGTCTGGGAAGCTCTTTATCTCTCCTTCAATTCTAAACGATAGCTTTGCTGGGTAGAGTTATCTTGGTGGTTGCACAGAATAATTTTTTTAATGACTTTGTAATGAATGGTTTAAAACAATTTTAAAACAAACTGGAAGAGGGCCGGCCGAGTGGCTCAGTTGATTAAGCGTTAGCTTAAGAGCGCAAGCTCTGAGCAACAGGGCTGCCAGTTCGATTCCCACACGGGCCAGTGACGCTGCGCCCAAGCTGAGCTGGTCCTGGGCTGCCAACAGGTAGCAGGATGGCTCAGATGGTGTAACAAGATTGCCTGTTCAATGGTGGGCTATGCCCACCCTCAACTAAGACTGAACTCGGCACCTTGAGCTGAGCTGCTGCCCGGATGGCTCAGTGGATAGAGCGTGTGATCTTAACAACAAGGCTGCTGGTTCAACTCCCATATGAGATGGTGGCTATGACTACCTGCAACTAAGATTGAACATAGCACCTTGAGCTTAGAGGCCACAAGCTGCCAATGGGCAGCCAGATGGCGACTGGCGCCCTCCACAATGAAGACTGAAGAACAACAACTTGGCTGGTCCCCTTCCCCAAGTCCCCAACACTGTTCCCTTCCCCCAATTCCCCAATAAAAATCTTTAAAAAAACCCCAAAAAACTGGAAGAAATTCAGTAATTCAATCAGTGACTATAAGGTTATGTCATAAACTCATTTAAGTTTTAACAACAAAATCCAACAAAGTTAAATGACGGCTTTTAAGACCCTGCCCAATTTTATAGTATCACAATGAAAAAGAATTACACAAAACATACAATGTATTGAAAGTCATGACGTATTTTTTCTATGTTTTTCGTTGCAATAATGCGTCATGACTTTTCAAACAACCCAATAGAACAACAAATTTAAAATTTTATATCAAACATCTTTAAAAAAGAAACAATAGAAATGTGTTTGTTATATCTTATTTAAATTAGTAGTAAAAACTATCACAGCATAATATTTAGAATTTGGAATTGAGCTGTAACTGGAATGTGCTGCATCCAGAAACAGTAATTTTCACCATCAGTAGAGGGATTCAGGCAGAATATAGATGAATATGTGGTGTGTCTCTTGTTTTGGGCTTGGGCTGGCTCTCTCAAGCGTTAAATGGTTAGAGGCTAGGTAGCTGCCATTTATCGACCCCCTTTATATTCCAGGCACAGTGCCAAACACTTTCTATGTAACATATAATAAGGAAGGCATAATTTCCATCTTGTAGGTAGCTTAAACTCAGAGTGGTTTATCCTCAAGGTCACCCAGGATGTGACAGAACTGAGATTTTTAGATCTAGGTCTGTTTACCTTCAAGTCTCCCTAATCACTCACTATAAAGTCTCTTGATAGGCTCCTTTATGGCTCCACCAGGAAGACATCTTGGAGTTTCACAAACCATAACTTTAGTGGTTTTGTTGTTGTTTATCCCCTAGAAGGCCCTGAAGTAAAACAAACAGAACCATACGATATAGACCATCCTAGACAATGTTCTGTGTAACAGGTATATCAATGGAAAAATGTTACAAGAGGATCAAGTCTATTTATACAATAAATATCCAGCCATAAGATGTCCTCATAAACTAATAATACACACCAAGCAGGACCAAGGTGGAGCTCCCCTTATTCAGGCATTTACCTGAGTGGCAATGTGAAGATGAATGAGATAAAATGCCTGCTCTGAAGGGGTTCACAGTCTAGGGGAAGAGACAAGTACACAGACGATTTCAGCAGAGGGAATTACTGCAAATCGGAGAAATACGACTTGTTTGAAATAAAGATACCTAACTTATAAAAGCACATGCTTTCAAGGAAGAGACATTGGAAAAGGCTTCCTGGGGAATGACATTCAAGTCTTGAAGGACAGGTAGGAATAAGGCAGGGGAAGACGGGGGGAAAAGCCAGGCAATTCAGGAAAAGAGAATCAAATGTGAGAGCCTCAGACAGCAAAAGTGGTTTAGTGTACTTTTAAGGCACAGTGTGTTTCATAGAGGTCAGTTCTTAAAGTTCTGCTGGGATGACAAAAGGTAAAAAAAATGTTAATTGGATTTTCTACTGCAGAACACTTTTTTTTTTCTTTTTCCCAATGTGAAAGGCCAAGGGACATAGTAATATATAAGGTTGGTTTAAAATGTACATTGGAAAAGATAATTTTGTACTCGTCAGCCTGATATGGCAAGAGAAATGCTTTTTGTGTTGCTAATTCTTATCTCCCTAAGTAAAATAAAAGAGTTAGGCCAATGGAAGACAATGATGAAGCAATGTCCTACCACCATCCCAGAGCTAATAACTAGGCTTGTGGGGAAAGGGCCCAGTGGAGAGCTAACCTCCTTTGAAGGATAAGAGTGAAAATTCGGGGGCAAGTGGGCCAAGAGCAGATGACCCAAACAATCAGTAAGATGTCATTGTCCTTAGGGAGCACACCAACCAGTAAAGGTTATAAGAGGCCAAAAAGAACAAATTTAGCAAATGAATGCCATGGGAGGCAAAACAAAACCCTAGGGAACAGCAGAGAGAATTTAATTAAGTATTTCCTGGGGACTTAACCAGCTGAAGTAATCTTCAACTCTTGTTCACTGGAGTGGTGGTTATGAGGAGAGGTGTGCCAGGAAGGAACATAAGCAATCACTATTTTTCCCCACAGGTTGGTAAATGGCAGATTTTACTGACTCATTCTGAAATACCTATAAAGGTGGATACTATGAAGGCCTCTATCTTATTAATTAGATTGGCAGGATTTCTCTCATACACAGGTTCTCTGCTGCCGTCAACCTGGAGAAGAGGGGTTGACAGAGAAGGAGCTTATACTCTAGACTGGGGACCTGGGCAATGTCTAGTCACGCTTCCAGCTCTCTCAAGGGATAAAGCATAAATCTGCGCAGAATTTTTGCAGCCTATCTAGTTTGGAGTCTAGTACCTGAATATGGAGTCGTTCTCAGGAAGGGTTGATGCTGTACAGGATGCAAATATGGTGAGCCAAGGCCAGGGGAATGGCTTAGTTGTCATAATATATACACTTAATTTCTATTAAAGCTCAGGTAACTTTCTGAGGTTTTTACAAATCTCAGGACTTGACAAAAAGGGCTACTTAGACAAGTGGTATAAAGTTCAGCAGCATTTCATTTCAGAGGGTGTACATAGAACTATATCTTGACTATCTTTGAGGCAAAAGAAATATAAACTCAACATTATTTCCCTTGAAATTGGTGTATTTACCACTGCTAAAATTAGAGTATTTCCAAAGTACTTACAGTTGCCCTGAGTGGATTCCATATCCCTTTCCATTTCAATTTTGATTTAATTGTTGACTTGAGTTCATTTTTTTCACCAATTACGTCTCGATTCCTTTAGTCCTATATCTAAGCTATCTAAATTACCATGTTACTGGGCCGGCCGAGTGGTGCGTTGGCTTGGGACGCCAACTCTGAGCAGCAGGACCCTGGTTCGGATCCCACATGGGGGCCAGTGTCACTGCCCTCTACGGCTGGCATGGTGAACAACAGCTGGGCTGCCGTGAGTCGCCGGCGACGGCATAGGCTGCAGCCCCTGCTGCAGTGGGCTGCTATAAGCTACTGTGTGTGGCTGGCAGCCACCGTGAGTGGCTGGCAGCCGGTGTGAGCTGCCAAGAGCTGCCGTGAGCGGCGGTCCAGAGGCCAGCAACTATCTGCCATACCCAGGAAGAGCACAATGATAATACCAACAAGGACTAGTGAAGCAACATCCTCCACAACTAAACTGAAGAACAAAAAACAACAGCAACTTGTCTGTTTCCCTTCCCCCGATTCCCCAGCGCTGTTCCCCTCCCCCAATTCCCCAATAAAATCTTTAAAAAAATAAATTACCATGTGACTTCTCTTTATCATATTTTTAATTACAAAAATACAATCATTTGTTCTATATAAATAAATCAAACAGTATAGACGTATAATTTTTTACTTATTTCCCCATCAGTGCTGTATGTCCTTCATTATAATTCTCTGGGCTGATTCACACATGTACACATATATAGGGGTTTTTTTTAATACAAAATTTAAACATATGGGATATTACACACAGTACTGTGCAATACATTTTTCTTTTCCCAGTATATCACAGCCATTTCTCCAGCTCAATTCAGATCTCTTTTAATAGCTGTGTGATATTCCCTAGTATTGCGTATACTAGATGTGTTCTTTCCATATTTTTTACCATTACAAACAAAGGTGCTTTCGTTTATATAGAATTGCCAAAATTAGAAAACTGGGTAAAAGGGTATATAAACTTTTAACAAATCTGCCATATTATCTTCTAAGAGCAGTGCCTCACTCCCTAATTCCTCATCAGTAATGTGTTATTCTTAATTTTTACAATATCATGGGCAAAATCTGATTATCTCATGGTTTAAATTTGCACTAGCCAGACTAATAGTGCTATTGAGCATCCTTTTATGTTTATTGGGCAACTACATTTCTTTTTCTGTGAATGACATTGTGCCTACATCCTTTGTGCCCACTAA